TGTGTGCAGAGGAGTTGTGTGTGCACTAGTGGCTACACTGAGTACTCGCTAGTTCTCCAAAGCTCTGAGCTAGGTGTTCAAACTCTGCATCCTCAGAAGGAGTGGGGGTGAAGGGGAGAAAGTGGGTTATAAACAAGTTTCTCTGTATTTACAGGCCATCCGGCTTCCCCTTAACTCAGACCAACTTTCAGTATGTAAAAATAACATGAAAATGGGCTGTAGAATTTGATACTGTTTAACTGAATGCAGAAGGATGGGGCTGTATCACTTTTCTTTCCATACTTCCAAACAGGCCAGGGCCTCCGTGCAAAATGCTATTTCAACAGCTGCTGCAGTCAGTGAGGTAGTTTATATGCAGAGACTGTTTTTTTCCAGTGCAGGTCATTACCATACATCAATGACCACTGCACTGAGGACTTTTTGGAGAGGATACTTGCATAAGGTACCAAGCAATCATTCTGCCATCACTTTTGCCAGAAGTGTGCGCCTTGTATAAAATCTAACTGTTGAGCAAAGACAGCAGAAATTCCTGAATACAGCCAAAACCCTCTGGGTTAAAATCCGTGGGGAACACGGCACAGGGGACACAATGGTGGGAGTCTATTACAGACCTCCCACCCAAAGTCCTGAGCTTGACCAGGAGTTTGCCCAGGAACTGGCTGAGGCAGCTTGCTCCAGGACCATGGTTGTCATGGGTGACTTCAATTACCCAGACATCTCGTGGGAGGATCGCTCAGCAAAATCTGAGCGGTCGCAGAGCTTCCTCTCCTGCGTGGATGACCTCTACCTGACTCAAGAAGTCTATGGGCCAACGAGAGGCAAAGCGCTGCTCGACCTGGTACTGGCTACTGGGGATGACCTAGTCGGCGACCTAGTGATCGATGGGAAGCTGGGTGACAGCGACCACGAGCTGATCACCTTCACCATCTGCCGAAAAGCTGGCAAGTCAGTCAGCAACACGGAAGTCCCTGACTTCAGGAAAGCCGACTTTGACAAGCTCAGGAGGCTTGTCAGTGAGGCCCTAAGGGGCCGTGACCACAGGGAGAGGGGAGTTCAAGAAGAGTGGTTGTTCCTCAAGGGAGTGATCCTCAATGCACAAACTAAGTCTATTCCATCTCGGAGGAAAGGCAGCAAGAGGGCACAGCAGCCCCCCTGGCTCTCCAGGGACCTAGCAGACCTCCTGAGGCTAAAAAGAAAGGCCTACAAAGGATGGAGGATGGGAGTCACCTCCAAGGAGGATTATTCTGCACTGGTCCGGTCCTGTAGGGAGCAGACCAGGAAAGCCAAGGCTGCAACTGAACTCCAGCTAGCTTTGAGCATCAAGGACAATAAGAAGTCCTTTTTCAGATATGTGGGGAGCCGGAGGAAAAGCAGAGGCAACATTGGACCCCTGCTGAGCCAGATGGGGCAACTGACAACTGACGCCCAGGAAAAAGCCAACCTATTAAATAGGTACTTTGCGTCAGTCTTTCATCAGTCCCATGGGACGCCCATGCCCGCTACAGGGCCGGGAAGTCCGGGTGAGGGTGATCCCCTGCCCTCCATTAATGCTGACTTTGTGAAGGAACATCTTGAGAAGCTGGATACCTTCAAGTCAGCCGGCCCTAACAATCTTCCCCCCAGGGTACTCAAGGAGCTGGCGAGCATCATAGCCCAGCCTCTAGCACGGATCTTTGAAAACTCTTGGCGCTCTGGTGTAGTGCCCGAAGACTGGAAGAAGACCAATGTGGTGCCTATCTTCAAGAAAGGGAGGAAAGTGGATCCGGCTAACTATAGGCCCATCAGCCTGACTTCTATCCCGGGGAAGATCTTAGAAAAGTTTATTAAAGAGGCCATCCTTAATGGACTGGCCGACGCCAACATCTTAAGGGATAGCCAGCACGGGTTTGTTGCGGGTAGGTCTTGCTTGACCAATCTCATTTCCTTCTACGACCAGGTGACCTATCACCTGGACAAGGGAGAAGAGATTGATGTCATATATCTTGACTTCAAAAAAGCCTTCGATCTGGTGTCCCATGATCGCCTCTTGGAGAAACTGGCCAATTGTCGCCTTGGGTCCTCCACGATCCACTGGCTGGAAAATTGGCTCCGGGGTCGGACCCAGAGGGTAGTAATCGATGGAAGTCACTCATCGTGGTGTCCTGTGACCAGTGGGGTCCCCCAAGGCTCTGTCCTTGGACCCATACTGTTCAACATCTTCATTAATGATGTGGACACTGGAGTCAGAAGCGATCAGAACTGGCCAAGTTCGCCGATGACACCAAACTTTGGGGCAAAGCATCCACACCAGAAGACAGGCAGGTTATCCAGGCTGACCTGGACAGGCTCAGCAAGTGGGCGGACGAGAATCTGATGGTGTTCAACGCCGATAAATGCAAGGTTCTCCACCTTGGGAAAAAAAACCCGCAGCATCCTTATAGGCTCGGCAGTGCTATGTTGGCTAGCACTATGGAAGAAAGAGACTTGGGGGTCATCATTGACCACAAGATGAACATGAGCCTGCAATGCGATGCGGCGGCTAGTAAAGCGACCAAAATGCTGGCTTGCATCTATAGATGCTTCTCAAGTAAATCCCGGGACGTCATTCTCCCCCTGTACTCGGCCTTAGTGAGGCCGCAGCTGGAGTACTGCGTCCAGTTTTGGGCTCCACAATTCAAAAAGGATGTGGAGAAGCTTGAGAGAGTCCAGAGAAGAGCCACGCGCATGATCAGAGGTCAGGGAAGCAGACCCTACAATGACAGGCTGAGAGCCCTGGGGCTCTTTAGCCTGAAAAAGCGCAGGCTCAGGGGTGATCTGATGGCCACCTACAAGTTTATCAGGGGTGACCACCAGTATCTGGGGGAACGTTTGTTCACCAGAGTGCCCCAAGGGATGACGAGGTCGAATGGTCACAAACTACTTCAAGATCGTTTCAGGCTGGACATAAGGAAGAATTTCTTTACTGTCCGAGCCCCCAAGGTCTGGAACAGCCTGCCACCGGAGGTGGTTCAAGCGCCTACATTGAACACCTTCAACGCAAACTGGATGCTTATCTTGCTGGGATCCTATGACCCCAGCTGACTCCCTGCCCTTTGGGCGGGGGGCTGGACTCGATGATCTTCCGAGGTCCCTTCCAGCCCTAATGTCTATGAAATCTATGAAAGAACATCGAATTACATTTATGGAGATGCCTGATCCTGCGAGGTTCCATGTAAGGTGCTGACTGTCCTTAACTCCTGCTGGAGATGAGTGAGATTGGCATTTTGGAGGAAGGTGCCCGTGATGTACAAGGCGATAGATACCATAACTCAAGGCCTGTCACGAGAATTTCCATCAGTGAGAATCATCGCCCTGTGGAGTCACTCTACCTACAATAAAACCAGACTCAAATCCATAGCCTTTAGCTATTGCACAGCTGTTGCAGATAACGGCAGCTAATCATTTAAACTGTTAGTAAAGTATTGTAATTTCTTCCCACCTTTCACTACAGCAGCAATATCCTGATCACAGTGCAGTAAAATAAATGCACCAGTCCCTCCTATTTTTGGCATTAACTTTTATAGTGCTATGTCGCCTAGTGCTGAAATCTTGCTGGCACTCCCAAGTTAAGCAGAGTGAGCAATTGGAGGGAAGACCTACAAAGAAGATGATGCAGAAAAACAGTTCAGGAGGTGACACCCTTTCCTCAGCATCCACACCCAGCCAAGCACTGTGGTCTTGGAACAGTTCTGTGCTGCTGCACATTTCACTGTCAGCAAAAGAAGTAAAATCAAATCCTTCCCATTTGCAGTCATCAGTGATCTCAGGGCATCTTTCAGAAGAATAGAGGTCTGTATTCTCATAGACAAAGTCTAGCTTTGAGCAATGCTATTTGCATATGGACACTTTCTCTCTTATTTTTCAAATGGACACAGTTGCTTTCCTCACTTCTACTTGTGTGGTCCTACTTTATTAGTCTAAGCTACCATTCAGTACCAGGTGAAAAACTCTCTAAGACAGCAGTACGTTTATACCCTTCTGTACTATAGAAATGGTGAATGCCCTGTGCATTGGGAAGGTACTACCATATTTTCCCCTATGCTATATATCCCCAAATAAGATATGCACCTTGTTTTAGGAAGGCAGAATAAAGAGAAGAAAAAAAAAGGACTTTTCCAGAATCATGGCTGAATGCTGGCTGCGTGCAGCTGGGACAGTCTGCTCTTCAGTGTCACTCATCTTCCTCTTGCTACTCAGCCAAAACCTAGAGGTTTAACCCTCTCACAGCCACTGCTGAATTGGTAGCAGCTTTTGGCTGACAGTGTACCTGCCGGGCCATTCCAGTGTCCCCAAGTTTCCATTAAGCACCTTTGTTTAGTACACACACACCAATTTTAGATGGCTTCTTTTTAGGTTAAAAAGTATGTGTGGTATGCAAGTAAGTATGGTAATATCTCTGTGCACCCCTCTCTCCCCACATATACACAACTTAATTTCCTTTCCTCAGCTAAAAAAAAAGAAGGGGCTTACCCAAGGTCACAAAGGAAGTTCATGGTAAATAAAGCAGGGAACAGTGTGCCAGCCTAGTCTCTTGACCACTTGGCCACCATTCTTTTCTATCAAAGTTCTACTTATACATAATTAAGCAAGCATTTTAAATAAGTAGTCTATGGTGTTCAGTATATCCAGCTGATCTACATTTATAAAATACCATGGGTGTTTCATACATTATACAATAAGCCCTATTACTGCATAATGTAAACCCATTTAGTAAAGTGATTCCATTATGAGAATACTATTGTTGAAATTCTTTCTACGTGCAGCAAACATAAATATGTCCTCCTTTGTTTGATTAATCAAAAATGGGAATAATCAATCCCACTGCACTGCTTACCAGAGGATATTCTTTTGCAAAACCTCTGTGGCAGGAAATATTTGATTAAAAAAAAAAACAACCCTTGCTGTATGGCTTGGAATATGTTAAACTTGTACTCTCTGCTTGGTAGGTCTATTAAATTTCATGTCCTTGTTTTCTCTTTCAGGCTGACAGCTAAGGCAGTTGCTGTATTGTTGCCGATCTTGGGAAGTTCATGGATCTTTGGCGTTCTAGCCGTCAATGACCACACATTAGTATTTCAGTATATGTTTGCAGTATTCAATTCCCTGCAAGTAAGTACATGGAGGGCCCAGATCAGTGCTGAGGAATACTGCACAGCCAGCTCTTTAGCAACATTTTCATAGCCTAACTTTGCAATTCCGTTTCCAAAGTAGAATTTGACTTACTCCAGATTAATGTTAAATGTCCATCTATTCTCTATGTGCTTTCTGCAGTAATAATGTGCAATACTCAAACCTTCTCTCTTTTTTTGTTCTTTTAAGGGTTTTTTCATCTTTCTGTTTCACTGCCTTCTGAATTCAGAGGTATGTCGTTTCCCCCCCCCACCCCCCCGGAGTAACCAGCTACTAGTAAAACCAAGACCTTAGTGATGCTAACATTTTTTAGGATAATGTTAGGTTTATAAATGTTGATGCAAATCTGCTTTGCTGTTCGTAGGACGTTTTTATATAATGATGTTACTTTGAGTGTTCAAACTTTATATCTCAGCCTCCATTCCTCAGCAGTGTGAATATGTTTTATTTAGCCACTGTCATTGCAACTTATGAAATATTCAGGAAAGGACTCTGTTAAACACAAGCCTGTGAATGTAAAACAAAGAGGAAAAGCCTCCGTGTTGATGACGTATATGTTTCTGTGTCGGCAAACAGGGAACCACTAGTAATGGTTTGGTTCCTCAAAATGGCTGCCCAAACATCATCTCACTTCACCACAGTGGGTGAGATTTGGGGCGTTTAAGAGAAAAAGGGGGGATTTCTTAAAATGGGACAAGGGTTCAGAATTCAAGTCCAGAAGCAAAAACACTCTTCAGGCCTGGAGGATTGGGCAACGTTTCTGAAGGGAGAATCATCGGACTGGGGCAGCAGGATGCTCGCAGTTCCTGCCATTAGGCCTGTGACTTCATAATACACATAGAGATCAAGAAAGGCAAAATTATTATTCATCTCAGGAAAACATGCCTGTAGCATTTACTCGGACATTTCTTAATGAGAAAACAAACCAAATATTTTCCAGGTATTTTTCTTAGCAAGATAAAAGACTCTGGAGGGATTTTTTCATGCAAGGACTCTCTTTGGACCGACTGCTTTAGAGTCAAAGCTTAGCTCTAATAAGTAGGTTTTGCAGAGGGGATCGGTGGAGCTGGAGTAAAAGACTCTTCACCCTCCAGTGTGCACAGTATTGAAACACAATTGTTACTATGGAGAAGCCTAGAAAACTACTGCCCTGTCAACCTCGTCAGTGGATATGTCGGTAATGACTTCCTTCCCTGTCCTACCAAGAGAACTGCTCCACAGCCGACCTCTCCCTGACATACCTTGGAGCCACTCCAGGGTTTTTCTATGATCCTGCTCTGCACAGGGCTTTCTCTGCCTGTGGAAGACCAGGCAGGAAATGTTGTTTGTAAAAATCAGCTATTTACTAAGCATCATCAGCATGCCGTCTCCCGGAAAGAATAAATAGTTATGGTCTGTGCCCTAGTTCACAGTTAGGGCCCAGTGCTGAATTCTCCGCCTTCAGCAGCCAAGATGTGTAAAGCTAAAAGGCCTGATAAAAGAGGAAAAATACTTTGTTTGTCTGTTTTTCCCTGAGCTCTGAAGGCCTTTCCTCTGCACCGCCCCCCTGAAGCATCTTGTTCTCAGATAAAACAACCCAATGTCCAAATATAAATATCTGAATTGTGGCCTTTTCCCTAGGACCCTAACAAGAAAGAAAATTCATGCAACGTGCTGAGTACTCTTTGCCGGCATTGGTTCCTTCACAATTTGAATCCCTGGCAAACAGCATTAGAGCTGAAGAGAACGATCACCTTCTGGCGAACGGTTCTCGTTAGCTCCATTTTACAGTGTGAATAGCTACTGGAAACGCCCCTTTAGAGAAACTTAGACCATACTTTAGGAAGCAAAGCATTTTTCAAAGAGGGAAACCCAGACCCGGTAAAGCAAAACTGGAGATATTTTGAATCAGTGAGGTAATACAGAAGTTTCATTCCTATGTTTTTTTACAAAATCTACATAAGGAATATGTGCAAAGAAATACAGCAGGTGGCCGTGCTTTTGATTGCTTTAGGATCTGTACCTAGACTATTCTTTTATCCCTCCAATTACTTTTTGTCCTGTCTTTGGAAAATAATACAATGGTAATAAAGTGAAAATATATGTATATGTAGCTGTTATAATGGGTGGTAAGAGAGCAATGTAAAAGACACACACACACACACACACACACACACACAGAGTAATAGGAACCCAACTATACAGAGCACCTTACTGTAAGTGTAATTGTATGCCAGGAAAACAAGTCTATATATATATGCTCACTTATGTTTCCATCAAAAGTAGTGGCAAAACTCCCATTGACTTCTGTGGGTGTCAGAGCAATATAACAATAATTAATTCTCCCCAGCTTCACTGAGTCATCCAGGCTGACGTGACACAGATAAAGAGTTACTTTTCCTGGCTTTTCCATCTGCTGCTTCATAGCTAGTAGCATCTTGGAAATCCCGCTGGAATTTTAATGCTAATGAGTGGCTCTTGAAGGGTGTAGGTCAAAGGCTACTGCTAGCATTTAAGGATCATCAGTTATCATTTCCTCACCAACTGCCAAAAGAGAAACAATTCTACAGCATGGGAAAATATTCTGACAAATAGCAAAGATTGCATTTCTAGGTTCTTGGGTTTTTTTGTCCAAGTAGAGGAGAGGTGAATTATGTTGAAAAGCATTGCGCAGTTCACAAAGACTCAAGCCCTAGTAAAGTGGCAGCTAAGGCTGTGGATAGTCTGTTCCTGCCCCTTGCAAATGCAATCAAAAACTCGCACGTGATAAATGAAAGGCAGTTCTTTCAGTGCTATGACTTACGATATGAACGATCCGAGCGATTTCGGTGGGACTCTGAGTGACGAGGGAGGGTAGATTTGCTATTGGGAAAGATCTCTAGTATTGTAGCCAGGAAGAGTTGTAGGTATTTGCAGGATCCTTATCTGGTGAGCATGTTGGGTAAAATCTTATCCCCACTCCTTCTCCCTTGGAATCAACGGGAGATTTTTCCTGCTCACTTTAGCAAGGCCAGGCTGTTGCCGATACATGCAAAGCGAGCATTGTTCGTAAAAGGTGAGATTTGCCTCTGTTATCTTAAGGCCTAGGCAAAACAACTATTGCCTGGGCTGTGTGCTGCGTCTTTCCAAATTTAGCCCTGCTACAATTCAGCTCTGAAAAGTGGCTCCAGAAGTTACATGATCCAAATGATGTTTCTGCTTCTTACAAAACAGGTTTTTTTAAAAAAAGATTTACTCCCAGGAAGCCAGTGCTGCTTTTGAAGCAGGGTGGGATCTAATCTGACACACATGCTAGCAAACGCAGTATTTGGCAAATTCCCGGTGCAGGGCTGAATTCTTCTTGCTCTGACACCTGTGCAGCCACATGGAAACTGATAGGAGTGCCCTGGTGTCACTTGGCAGGCAGAATCTTTATTACAGCTTGTAGGACTGGCATTTGGGGAAAAAACATATAAAAACTGGAGAAATCTTCCATCTGCCATCAAAAGGAGGGAGCCACGTTTTCTTCTTCAGAGTTTGCAATCAGTGAAAGGGGCGTCTATGCTCATACTAACTTGACCCCAATAAATCTCCAGGAGGCAAAGGCATATCTTTGCAATGGCTCTGACCTCTAGCAGCTGGCTCCAGAGCCCACCTGAATGCACAGATCTAGGGGCCCCTCTGGATCTATATTAGTTACATGCAAAATGTTAAAAACTCATCAGGGAGCTACTGTTAAACAGAATGAAATCTCCTCATAACATTACTATTTAGAGCAGAACTGCAAATATTCCAAAGCAGTATATACTTATGTACTGCTTAGTGAGTCACGAGATAAAGGCAATACTTTGCGTTTGAGAAATAAATAAGACTTGATTAGGAATATCTCCTGAAAGCCTGCTAATGTATCGTTTCATGCTCTTCTTAAAGGTTAGAGCTGCCTTTAAACACAAAACCAAAGTGTGGTCCCTCACAAGCAGTTCGGTTCGAAACGTCAATGTGAAACCCTTCAACTCTGACATTGTAAGTACTCCTGGTTTTTTTCCTATGATAGTGCTAGGGGCATTCTAGATTAATAAGACAACAAGAGGCACAGGAATTAATTAGTACTCCAGGAATTAATTACTACTCATTTCTAAAGTGTACTCTATGGCAAGCTGCAATGTAAATGAAGTATACTGTGGATCTTTTGAAAGGAAAGGGCCAAATTCTGCTTTCTGGTATGTCAGTGAGTACTTTTTTAAAAGTTTGCTATGCAGGCGCATGTCCAAAGGCCCTTTAAATCAATCAGAATCTTCCCATGGACTTTGTTGGGCTTCGTACAGGCAACCAATGAATGTTCTGGCATTAACTTCATTTGATGCACTCTTTATTTTGCGAAAGTGCCTTCATATTTAGGTCCCAGTCATAAAAATAAATCACTGCACGTGCGTGCTTTTCAATCTCTGCCAAAGGTGCTTAAGTTGTCTTGTAGCAAAAGAAAATTGTTTGATAAGAAAGAAGTCTTTAGAACAGGTCGGATCAGAAATGATTGCCAACGACTAGTGAACAAGACCTGACGATACATCAAACTATTCCTTTATGGCTTATGCTCTCAAGATGCTAAGATAATGTTGGAAGCATCTAGGCTGATGCTTTCAAGTTTTTATTTCAAGCAGTCAACTGTGGTTTAGCAATAGAAATAACTCTCGTTTCAATAATCTGGTTTTTTTTTTCTAGATGACCGGAAACAAACCAGGCACCACTCCTACAAAGCTGAACACCTGGGACAAAAGCACCAATTCAGGCAATAGGATTGACCTATCAGCTGTCTGACATTAGACCCAGGTTCTCACCGAAAATCAAGCCATACATTCAGGACCTCTGACATAGTCTACCAGTAATTTCTCACTGTTCATGCCAGTCGGAACTGCTCTTCTAATCACTGCCTAATAAATTGGAAATTGCCATAGTGTTTTATTGAATATGTACAATCAGTCCTCATCTGCTTGCCTCTCCACTTACAATTCAGTCTGCCACTTGGACAAGAGCAGTACCTGCAGAATAACTAGCACAAATATACACTGGATGGTTTTGTCAGTGATGATGAAAACAGTAGGTGTGGAAAGGTGATTATTCCTGTCGAATTCATTCTGGACTACAGGACTGAGGAAAGCTAACGTACCTCAGGATGTTTTATACTCTACAAATGAAATGTTTCCTACTGGGATTTTGTAGTTGAGCTGGTTTTGTGTAGCAGTGCATTCATTCTGTTTACATTTAATATTTTAAGTAACCCAATTACCCCAGTAAAATGTATTCAGAACACAAACAGCCAACAGGCATTTCATTTGAATTCTGTACGTGACCTGGAGGGAAAAATGCAAGCTCCAACCAATCAGACCAAAACACAGACTTGGGACTGTCAAATCTGATATAACGTTGTATCTGTGTCCCACAAACAGTGCATGTAGCACACACTAGTCACACGCATACACACACAGTTAACTTGTTAAGTATTCCCTTTGACGTGGCATCGATAAAAGATATGTATGCCTAAGAATGTGCCGCACCAATCCTCACTGCTAGTTTAGTTTGACTGGCGATTTGTGTCTGCTGGCATACTGCAATACAAGGCAGTCGCCTGAATCTTTCTGATGCAATCAACAGCTGTCCATCAAGTGCATTTTGCAAACAGACTTGACCTGTAGCTTTTCGAAATCGAAATCTGACTCTCTGACTTTATCTTTCTCCTTTTTTCTGGTCAGACTGAGGCACTGAAGTCCAAACACAAAAATGTAATGCAACAAAATACTGTGAAGGCAGCAAGACTGCGGATGGGTCTTTGTATGGTTATCTACAGACATATTTTAAATAGACCTCAAGACAGTCTCTTGTGTTTTAAAGTCTGCTCTGCATTTTGCAGCTTTTGCTTTAATATCTTTATGTGGGGGGTGAGGAAGGGGGAATGACATTTTTCATTTAGCCCAATGTCTTCCTGGTCCTTACAAACTATGTCAGTGAGTATTTAATCCATGGAAGTTTTGGGCACCAGTGCTATAGTCAGCTAGCTTTGGGGGACAAGTTGGCTTTCTGGCATGAATACAATCCTGAGAGCTCAAAGTAGCCAGGGACTAATTTATTCCCAAGGCTTATTTAGCAAGAAGGCTCCCCAAAATTCCCATAATTGGGGCTCACTGGATATCTCCTTTTCCCAGCCATCTCTTTCCCACATCCCCTAGGCAAATCCTCTGGAAGCTTATTCTGGTTTTCTTAATGGTTTGTCCCACAAGAATGGCACAGGATAACTAGCAGAGGGGCTGAAGTATTGATCTATCATTTCAAAGTGTCTCTTACCCCTTAATCAAAGGTTTATATAAATTTCAGGCCAATTGTGATCTTCCTCAACTTTGTTTTGCTATAGGTTCAGGGGACTGGGATTTGCTGCTATTAGGGACTGGGGCTTGAGGATCCCTAGCAACACGCTGTTAGCATTTTGCCATTAATATGCCTCTGCATGGGGAGAATTTTTGTCTGAAGAACCATAAATTTATAGAAGAAAGAGTTTCCATGGGAACTGAAACTAATTGTGAATTTGGCTAATATCATATTTTCTCACATACAACATCTACCTTGCCTCCAAAACCAGCTGCTGACAATTGGAGTGCACGCTATATGCAAGGAAATGTGGTAAGAGCAGTTTCTGCTGCTTGCTTACCAGGAAAAAGTGAAACTAAAGTCTGCATGGGGGCAATGAGCAGGCTTGGCTCCCTGGCTGCTGCTACTCGGGTCCTTACTGCAACGAAAGATGTATGTACTTCATTCTGTCTTTCATAAACAAGGCACATATTTTATCACAGACATGTTATATGGGAGAAAATATGGTGGTCTGGGACGAAAAAAAGCTAATAGGGAAGAGTTAGAGAAGGTCAAAAAATTATTTCAACATTTTCAGACTGGAATGTTTAATTTTCAAAACCCATATATATTTCATGTTCACTCTTTCAAACTGCAACTTTTGACTTTCTCATTAAAAACGCAAAGGCCTGTACAGGCAGAGAGAGCTAATAGTGTTTTACACTGCAAGAAACCCAAACTTTTCAGATATGAATTAACACTTTTCTGTTAAAATTTGATGTAAATTAAAAAAAAGGGGGGGGGGGGGGGGGGTAAAACAGCATTATAAATGAAACAAAGCATTTTGTTTTGAGTAG